GCTGGACCAGAAGATACTTGTATGTGCATTTGTTTAAGGAAGTGGCACACTTCCTTAAATCCAGGGTGGGTGTAGAATTCTACAGTCCCACTAGCAATGGAAGAGTCTTCCAATCCTCTCCACATCCTGTCCAGCTTTTTTTATTTTCCTTTTTTTGGAATTTTGCCAAAAGTGTCAGTATGAGATGATATCTCATTGTTGTTTAAATTTGTATTTCTCTTATTGCTAATGTATAGAAAGGCTTCTTTATGTGTTGGCTGCTTGTATGCCATCTTTGGTAAATTGTCTAGTCAAGTCTTGTGCCCATTTTAAAAATTGGATTCCATCATTAACTTCTAAAGTTTTTGTTTCTGTTTTACTGGAATTTTGTTCGGTTTTGTTTTGTTTTGTTTTGTTTTGTTTTAAGCAAAGCACTAAGCCAATTGCAGTTGAGCTGATTCCAAATCATGGTGATCCCACGTGTGTCTGAAGATTAGAATTACATAAACCAAACCAAACTCACTGTCATGTCTGTTCCGACTCATAGCGACCCTATAGGATGGGGTACAACTGCCCTGTGGGTTTCTGAGACTGTCACTCTTCATGGGAGTAGAGAGTCTCATCTTTCTCCTGAATAGTGGCTGGTGGTTTCAAACTTCTTACCTTGAGGTTAACCACCCAACGCATAACCACGACGCTGCCAGGGCTCCTTGAACTCCATAGTATTTTTTTAATAGCCAATTTGTGTGGAAGTACATTTCTAGATTTTTTTCCCTGGGGGAACTCAAATCTCCAAGCTTTGAATTAGCTGCTGAGCACATTAACTGTACTATGTGGGAACCCCTAGCAAAGTGCAATGACGTCATTCTGGAATTCTGATGATCGCATAGATTTGATGGTAAGTCTTTCTATTGTATCTGATCTCTGTTAAATCTCGAGTATAGTGACTGAATCAAGGAAGATCCTCCTAAGAGGTTTTCAGGTCTTATATAGCTACATAAAGACACATGCTGATACAGATGCAGTATAGAGATTAAAAACTCACCCATATTTATATATGCAAATGGGTACATACACACACACAATTGGCCCTGGTGGTGCTGTGGGCTAGGCATTAGGCTGCTAACTCAATAGGAGTTGGAAAGTAGGGGACTTAGGAGTTTTTTATGGTTTTATATATACACATATATACATACATATATACACATACATTCTATGCATTTATGTGTGTGTGCAGATCTATCTAGACATATTCATATATGATTAATATATAGGTAATGTTTGAGGAGGGTTCAAAACTTTCATGGAAAAATGGAATGAAAAGATAAAGGACTTTTCCCATGAACTTTTGGAAGCCCTCTCATGTGGCCGTATAGTGAATATTTAAGGGAAAAAATTTGGGGCCAGATGACCTAGGTACAAATTCTAGCTTACTAACTGGGGCACCTAGGGCAATTTACTTACAGTTCTGTGTTTTAATTTCCTTATTTGTAAAATGAGTAATAGTGCTACTCATGTAATAGGGAAATGGTGCCGATTAAAGGGTTTAGCAGAACCTGGCATGTGATAACTACTCAAGAACCCGGCATGTTAGTCACTATGATTATTACTTTATATATGGAAAACCTGATTTCTTTCATATCTTATAGCTGCACTTTTGTTTTTTTAAAAAGCATCTTGTATCTACCTCCTATTTAGGAACCCCGGTAGGATAGTGGTTACTCATTAGGCTGTGATCCTCATGCTCGGTGTTCAAAACCACCATCAGCTCCACTGGAGAGACATTGGACTTTCTGCGCCTGTAAACAGTCACCGTCTCAGAAACCCACAGGGGATTGCTATGAGCTAGCATTGACTCGATGACAATGAATATAGGAATTTAGATTTTTTAAAAGCATCATATTGTTATATTGATATTGGCTTGTAGTCATGTGGTAGTTATATAATTGGCAATTTGAGAGGATTATGAGTGAAGGGGTGGAATCTAGTCTGTCAGTTGGATCATAGCCAATGTGGCTCCTGCTAATTCTGGGAAATCTGGTATTTCCTCCTTGAAGGTGGGAGACTCTCTGCTCACACCCTGGGAGACATAGCAGCTGACAAGACACATGGACCCACCCAGATGCAGCCTTGGGTGCTGGAGAAGCCATGCAGAGACCCCTGCCAGTGCTGAGATGTTTCCAATGACACTGGATCCAAAGACTTTCTACCCACCGGCCTGTGATCTTCTACATTTGGCATCATTGCATGTGTTTCATGAGTCTGAAGAGGACTTTATAGATGGGTATCGGACATATGGGCTAATGTCGGACTTATGGACTGATCTGAACTTGGCTGGGATGTTTTCTCAATGTTCAATTGCCGTTGTATATAAATCTCTTTCTTGTACTCATATGTGTGTCCATGGTTTTGTTTCTCTATTCTACCCAGACTCACACAAGTCACTTATTATATTTTTATTATTATGAATTAGGTGGGGGTTTACATTTGATGTGTTTTCACTTCTGCAACATATATTATTGAACAGTCTAGTCTAGGGGGTCTTCAGAGCATGCTAGTCATAATTTCTGCTCTTTGGGTACTCCCATGGTCAGGAGAAGAGAGGAACACTACTTAGCTTTCTTCCTCTAGCCTTAGCCTCTCCTATCTTCTTCCCTTCGACCTCACTGCACTGAATCAATATGGTTCATAGTGACCCTACAGGACAGAGTAGATCTGCCTCTGTGCTTTTTTCTCTTGACTCTTCCTATTAGAATAGTATCAGGAATAAGGATGTATGTATATGTTAGGAATTCAATCAGATGCAAAAATTTTAAAATGATCAGTTGTAAACAAATAAGAAATTCTTTTCCCCACAGGATATGGAGACAGAAGACTGATGCAGATGGTTCAGCAATGTTATGAAAGCTATGTTACAGAATGAGTTGTTCCCCACCCCCGCCCTCCCAGCCGCCCCTCAATATGAGCTGTAAGTACTAACTCCTCGTCCTGTGGATATAATACCTCAATATGTTAATGGATTTATATAGAGTTTTCTCAAATCAATCTCTTTTGAAATATATAAAGAGCAGATTAAACAAGGAAGCAGAGATAGGAGATGGTAGATGCCATGACATGTAACAGAGGCACATAATGTAATGTAAGAGGTATCGTCAAAAAGTAGAAGCAAAACCAAAAACCAAACAATAACTTTCCCCTGGAGCCAACAGAGAGAAAGCTTGGCCCTATGTCAGCACCCTGTAAGTGGACTTGGACCCTCTTAATCTCCTCAACTGTGAGCAAGTAAATGTCTGTTTGTCATTCACTTTTGGCATGTCTGTTATAAGAGCCTTAAATAAATAAAGCAGGCCGGAATCTGTTATTATTTTGTCTTTTCCTTACTGTGAAAATATGGGTACTGCAGCTCCAGGTATCATGTTTATTTTAAGCCAAGAAGATGAAGGTAAGAAAAGAGAAAAGAAGGTATAACAGATGTATAAGTTCCTCTAAAAAGAAAATCACCACCTGTGTGATCCCAAGGTGTCAAAGGGATCAGGTATCAGGTATCAAAGAACAAAAAATCATCTTTGTGAATGAGGAGGAGTGTGGAGTGGGGACCCAAAGCCCATCGGTAGGCAACTGGACATCCCCTTACAGAAGGGTCGCGGGGAGGAGATGAGCCAGTCAGAGTGCAGTGTAGCAACGATGAAACATACAACTTTCCCTTAGTTCCTAAATGCTTCCTCCCCCCACCACCCGCCCACTTTCATGATCCCCATTCTACCTTACAAATCTGGCTAGATCAGAGGATGTATACTGGTACAGATAGGAACTAGAAACACAGGGAATCCAGGGCGGATGATCCCTTCAGGACCAGTGGTGAGAGTGGTGATGCCAGGAGGGTGGGATGGAAAGGGGGAACCAATTACAAGGATCTACATATAACACCCTCCCAGGGGGACGGACAACAGAAAAGTGGGTGAAGAGAGATGTTGGACAGTGTAAGATATTACAAAATAATAATTTATAAATTATCAAGGGTTCATGAGGGAGGGGGAGCAGGAGGGAGGGGGAAAATGAGCTGATGTCAGGGCCTTAAGTGGAGAGCAAATGTTTTGAGAATGATGAAGGCAATGAATGTACAAATGTGCTTTACACAATTGATATATGTATGGATTGTGATAAGAGTTGTATGCGTTCCCAATAAAATGATTTTTTAAAAATCAGAAAAGCCTTCAAGGACAGTCCCGGACTCCCTTCCAAGCAAACGTTTTACTAATTTCTAGAATCATGTTCCTAGGCCCCCCATAGCTGGACATGTAGCTGTGCAGAAGCACAAGGGAGAAAGCAGGTTTGCAATGCTTTGGCGTCATCAGATGAAAAATATCTGCTAAAATCAGTGATTGTCTTGCCTTTGTCTTTGTGTTTCTCCTTTGCACTCTCTCCCTGTGGCCCCTGCTGCATCCCAGTCTCCTCTTTGGAAGGAGATAGATTGGAGAAAAGTAACAACATGGGGCTTCACTTCAGGAAATAAGATGTTGCCTTACAAGAAGTTATCAATGTGCAGCTGAGGAAAATGCATGAAAGGATCCGCAGTATGCTGTCTTCAGGAGCAAGAGGGTTCTCCGTGGAAAGCAGAATGCGACTGGGGGCTGCTAACAAGCGTTGTCTAGCTACACTAACTTGACAAGCATGGCGTTGGCTGGAGAGAGAACTAGCCTTGCTGCCTTTGGGATGATGCTCCACAGACAACAGATGTCCTATAGTTCAGTGCTTCTCCACCTTCCTAACGCCTGAGCCCTTTCATACTGTTCCTCAGGTCATGGCCAGCCCCAACCATAAAATTATTTTCACTGCTACCTCATAACTGTCAGTTTGCTACTGTTATGAATTGTCATGTAACTATATGATATGTAGGATGTATTTTCATTGTTACAAATTGAACATAATTAAAGCATAGTGATTAATCACAAAAACAATATGTCATATATTGTGAGATATTTATTTCTAATGACAAATAAATGAAATTTTGTCTTCAAGCACGGTGTAGCATGGGTAACAGTCTTAATATAACAGCAGTAAACTACATTGTTCCAGTTTGCGACAGTATGCGTAAAAAGTAGCATCAGTGGGAAAGTTAAAATAGCTTCTTTCTCCCCACATCAGCATCTGCATGTGGGCGACCCGAGAGGAGCGGTGTCTCGGTTCCTAAAACCATCGGCTAGATGTGTTTTCTGATGGTCTTAGGCATCCCCTGTGAAAGAAATGGTCGACTCCCAAAAGGGTGGTGACCCACAGGTTGAGAACCACTGCTATAGCTCATTTAATTACAGATTATCATATACCAACTCTGGCTAATGACTACAGAGTAAACAACACTGCAAGGCATTTGTGACATTTGCTGACTAAAATGATACCTATTTAAATCGTACTTAATCCATAAATCCTTAAAATGTTTTCTGCCTAAAAAAAAAAAGCATATTCGTTATACCTTTGAATAGAATTTGGCATTTGATATTGCCCGAAAAAATACCAAGAATTCTCCCAAGGTGACAAAGTGTCTTGGTTACTCTCCCGTGATCTGCTCTCCAGTGCTCTGAGATCCACTCCCTCCACGATGGCAGGCAGTGTAGGCGCTAGTCACCTTCACTGGAACTGGAGCTGTCACTCTCAGATGGCTCACTGCTATCCCCCTGTCTCCTGCGGTCACGGCTTCTGTTGGAGTGGGGTCTTCTGGGTTCCCGGGAACCGTTGCCTCGCGACACACCCTTTCCTCGAGCGGCATTGTTTCGCCAAGGGGGTGCATAAAGCCTTCTGCCCCCATCATTGTGTGCGACTCTATTTTCTTCGCTAGCGGGACTCTTGTAGGAACCTATTTCGTTACCACGAGCAGGGCCCGGACTTTTCCTTTTACCAGGAGGTTTTTGTTCTTCCGTCGAGGTTACTTGGTTTCGATGGGAATGCCCCGCACCTTTTCGCGTGCCGCTTTTGCCATTTTTAGGAATCTCATTGTCCTTTGTGCTTTGCGTCACCTCCCTGCCGCTCTCTTTGCGCTTCCCCTTTGAGGGGGTACCGGGGTACAGCATCTCCACTCCCCCTCGATGAGCATTCCGACTGCCGGAGTCCACGTGGTGTCCAGGGAGTTCCTGCAGGTCCGTTTGGCCCAGGATGTCATCGGCGCCCTCCTCCATCAGACGCACATCAGCGCCCGTGGACCCTGGGGCGGCGGGGTCCCCACTTCCAATGGCATCTCTACTGGACCCCCCTTTCTCGTTATAACGGGACCCTCTTCTGTCAGGCTGAGTCGCCTCAGATTCACCTGTCTGAATGTCCGGACCTTCTGGGTCAGGACTCGTCGTTTCTCCTTGACCAAGAATGTCCTCAGAAGGCTGGCCATCCCCGCTGAAAGGGCCGACATCGTCGTCTCCTCTCTGTCGGAGCTGCGGGTAACCACTGCCTTCAAAATCCCGGGGCAGAGTTTTGACTTTTGTCAGTTGCTGTAGAAAGTCAGTGCCGCCTCGGACGTGACGGGGGTTTGTCCCTTGGGCCGGACCATTTGGGGCTTGGGCATCTCTTTGAAGAGTCTTTTCATATTTGGGGGAGGCTTCTTCATTGTGAACACCTCTGGGAATTGTGTGTGGAGCTTCCCCGAGTTTCTTCTCTTTGTTTTTTTCCCGCGGGAGTTCAAGGGCAGCCCCCGGCCCCGGGAACCATGGCATGTCCTTCCCAGGGTGAGCCGCACCCTCTGTTTCTCGGTCACGTTCACGGAGAGCAGCAGCTACCTTCTCCGGCCCACTCTTCCGAGTGGATGCAGCACGAAGGGACACCGCGCGGTCAGCGTGGACATCCTCTGTGTGATTCGCGCTGTAGTGTTCGTGCCCTGTCTTTCTGTTTGCAAAGAGAGTTTGAGATTTTTGGCTTTGATGATTTCCATTGGTTTCAAGAAGGGACACATATTTCTCTCTCTCCTGGGCACTGTTTTTTTCTAGAGGTGACTCTTGTTTCCTTCTTGTCCCCAGATGGTGAAGGGCAGTCCTGTCTTTGCTCCATTCTTCCTGCTAAGAGTCCAAAACAAAAGTTATTTTATGTTACATTTAAAGCTTAACAACTCTTGTTAATATAATAAAAGCAAGGCCTGGGCATGATGAAAACCTATGAATTGTGCACAGGTTTACTGGTTGGAGCATCCTGACAGGGTCAAAGATTTCCTGGAGAAAGATGAGTGAGCTGATCTAGATACACGGGTAAAATCCGGAGAGGTGGAAGGGAACCATTTAAGAATATTTTAAGAGTAGATAGCTTAATTAAATGTTTGAAGAGAGGAAATACTTCCAAGATATTATAAAGATAATAAAAGCACCTGTCCAGAGTAGAGAAATCCTTTAAAAGAGAATTGGAAATAAGTCTTTCAAATTAGACTGGTTACTGAGTTTGAAGGAGGGCGTGATTAAAGAGTGTCTTCTTTAACTTGAAAATAATGAGTTACTGTTAGTTGCTCTCTCTTATTGTGTTTGTCCTGGTCTCATGTGACATTCATTTGCTGAGAGGAAGAATTTATTTCCATTTTTTCCCTACCCATTTGTAAAAAAATAGGAGGCATACAAGTAGAGGCCATCTAGTATTTTCTAGCATTCGAAAACAGAATTTTTTGGCAAACCCAGTTGTTGTCCAAAAGTTATTCATAACTTTCTTTTAAGCCCTTTTGGCATATCATAAGCCAGATCAGTAGTTCCGATCAGTTGTTGTCAATTTTAACACACATCAAAACTGTCTGAAAGGCTTGACAAACTCACTCAATTCCTAGAGCTGCTCATTTAATGGTCTGTGACCCTAGAATTTGCATATCAAACAAATTCCCACCTGATGTTGATGCTGCAGCTGCCTTGGAGTCTAATTTTTGACACATCACAACCCGAGGGACACAGTAGACTTGCCTCAGAGCCTTATTAAGTTTTAGTCTTTACAGAGAAGAGTCCCTGGTTGGATTCCAACTGCTAACTTTTTAGGTATTGAGTGCTCAGTTGCTGTGCCACCCAGAATCCTTGGTGTTCTACCACACTGAAAACCACTGCTCTAGGCCATAATTTTAAAATAATAAATGTGCTGGGCATGGGGGAAATGGAAGGGAAGGATGACCATGGATGAAGAAAGTGATATATGTGTGTGTGTATATATATATATATATATATATATATATTTGATCTATTTTGTTGAGAGAGCACTGAAGATCCTGCTTCTGAGGCTGCGCCTTTCCATCATGGGTGGTAATGAAGAGGCAATCACAGTGTAGTCAGGAAGGAGGAGGGGCGAAAACTTACTGTCCAACATCAAATTTTCTGGGCAGCGAAGGCTACTGATTGAAATATCTGAGTCTGCTCAGGAACTTTCTGAAGGGAGTCACAACAGAGGAGTGAGCAGATTCTACAAAAAGAAATGTAGATGAGCTACATATGCCAGGGCAACCTGCAATCTACTCGCAACATAAGCAAAGACCAATTTCTATCGATCTGATGGCATCTCATAGGGAACCCATGTCCCCAGGGATTGCTCAATGAACGATGTGTGTCACCATCGGATTGTACTGCAAAGGGTTGTTCCAAGGCCAAGATTTTGTAAGTCAATCACTAGGCTGCTCTTCCACGGCATCTCCGGGTGGACTCAGATTTCCAACCTTTTAGTAAGTTATGCTAACCATTTGTTCTCCCTCAGTACTCCATCTGTAAGAAAACCTCCCTAATACCTACTGTCATGTAGTCAACTCCCATTTAGAGAGAAGAGCTGCCTCACGGGGTTTTCAAGCTTATAAATCTATACAGAGCAGACTGCCATGTTTTCCTCCCATGGAGGAGCTGGTGGATCTGAACTGCCAATCTTTTGATCAACATCAGATCCTTTTAACCACGGCACCAACAAGATTAAGTTTAAATAATTCAACAAGTTGAGTTTAAGTCAGTTTCTGCCTTCTTCTTCATTTGATGGGCAGGAGCTATTGAGGAATACAAGAAACTATCATACTTTCTCCTGCCCCCAGGTTTTTAAGGCGATTAAAAACCAAAACCCCTCCAGTACCCTTTGAGCTAGTGAATAATAAGGAGTATGCAGTATTTATTGTGGGACTAGGACATAGAATAAACTGAACTGAGTGGTACAAATCTGGTTATTTACTGAGCGGCAGAGTTGATGAGCATGTAAGAGTATTGTAGGAGCCTGTAAGAGTAATTAGTGCAGTGGGACAGAGATGATATGTCTAGTCGGAACTGTCACATATGTAGAGTGTGTCTGAAACATGTACAACTTGGCATGCCAGGACACAACATTAGGGGCTTGTCTTGTAGAGAACAATGAGTAAATGATGCAAGAGACTCACCAAATCCAAAACAGGGGTTTAGAGTGACAGGAATAGAAGGACAGTGATGGAGATGGTTACATTGTCCAGGAATGAGATAGACATATTTAGACTAGGTGTTGGTAAAAGAAAAAAATTACAAATGAAGGAGAAAAAGAAAAACCTCCAACCTCCCTCTGTTGGTTTGAAGGGGGCTTAGTAATGACAATGGACTGAAAGATGAACCTGCCAAAATGAGAAGGACAAGAGAATGACCTTCATCTTGGTCATGCCAATGAGGAAGGAAGAGAGAACCTGACTGGAAAAATAACATCAAGTTAGAGATGGAAATTTGGGGCCTCTCAGGAATCACCCAGATAAGTTCTTTCAAAGCCTTAAATCACTTCCACGGTTTCTTGACCTATGGTCAATGGGCCCCTGGTTGAAAATACTATTCTGTCAAATCTTCCCTTTTTAAATCTTTTCTTGCAACCAGCATTCCTATCTCTCAGTGACAACATTTATTGAGGTCATTTCCTCTGTCCTTTTCCAAGATTTGGAATGGTTTTGCTCTCTTCCAAACTCCCCATATGTCTTCTCTTGTTCAGGTTGGCACTTGCCATTAGCTCCTGTTAAGATACTGCTGTCAGACCCATCAGTCACCCAACTGTGTGAATCCTTTGCTTGTGGGGCTCCAAATTGGTCCTGGGCACTGATGTGGGACACAACACATGGCTGGTAAGCTCCCTTGCCTTGGCCATGATCTATAGTCATGCAGATGAGTGTTGTCTTGTGTCTTGGGGCCACCACTTCAGCCTGCCAAATTCTGATGTGCATGTGGATAATGTCTTTGATGTGTTCATTAAAGAGGCGAACATAAATGGAAGCTCCCAGTAGACAGAAAAAGAACAATCAGCTGGAGGCTCATACTTTTGGCATAAGTGTGTAGGAAAGATCGAAAAAAGGAGATAGAAAAACCAGGATCTGGGGAAATTTGGATACTAAAGAATTCAGATCCTAGATAATAATCCCAGTGAAATAACAGACGGGAATTGCCAATGGGTCTCTCTTGATTCCTCAAGCAAATGCTCATTGAAAAAATAGTTGTGCTTTGTAAAGAATACCAAACTCACTGCCACTGAGTCAGTTTTAACACACAGTGACCCTACAGAAGAGCACTGCCCATGCGAAATCCCAGGACTCCCCGAACCACTGTCTCGCCCAATTTGTAACCCACTACACCCCCAGGGCCCCTTGGAAAGAACTGAGGGGCTAGACTTTCTTGCTCAATTCTCTTCCTGGTGTGCTATATGATCTTGGTGGCCTTATTTGATTTCACTGAGTCTGTTTTCTTAGCTGTAAAATAAATGAAAAAGAAACCCGCCACTGAGAGTTTTTAAAATTCGTTTGGTCAAATGATAAATGTAAATCTTCTACCACAGTATCTTTCACAAAACACCAACCAACAAAGCAAACCCACTGCCAGCATTTTGATTCTGGTCATAGTGACCGTGGGGAGGGTTTCCCAGACTGGAAGTCCCACTGGGGCAGAAAGCCTTAGCTTTCTCCCAAGGAGCAGCAACCGGTGTGTTACAACTCCTGACTGCGATGAGAAGCCCGATACCTCACCCACCGCACCACCAAGGACCCTGATCATGAAATGAGCATTGTACTGTGCATGTGTAAACGATGGATTAGTCGCCATCAAATCAACTCTGGCTTGTAGTGGCCTGTGGGTCAGAGTAGAATTCTGCTATATAAGATTTCCAGTGGCTGACTTTTCTAAGACAGATTGCCGTGCTTTTTTTTTTTCTGAGATGACTTCAGATAAACTCGAATCTCCAACCTTTTGCTTGGCAACCAAGCATTTTAACCGTGTGCACTGCCTAGTAACTCATATACATGACCTCATGCACGGCCATTGGGGTGATTCCAACTTACAGTGACAGAGTAAACCGCTCCTGCAGGCTTCTGAGGTGACACATTTGAATGGGAGCAGAAAGCCTCAGCTTTCTCCTGAGAAGTGGCTAGTAGGAATCACTGGCCTCGTGGTGAGCAGCCTCACGGGTAACCCGTTAGGAGACCAGAGCTCCCTACCATTCCTGTCCTTTCCCACAGAAGTGCATAACCCCTTCATCAAATGATAGTTTCTTTCCCAACAGAATGTTAACTCCTTTCTAATATAACGCTGATGCTTTTCCTTTCAGTGCAGGACACACCGCTGTTCTCCTCATCTCTGTTCCTCTCTAACCTTAGTTGAAGTGGATGGGCTAAGCCTGGGTCCCTCTCCTACTGGATGGCCCCTTCTCCTCATCAGTCCTGGAAGCTAGTGGCTTTGAAACTAGGTTATCTAAAGTGCATTTTGATTAGATTTTCTGTCTTTTCTTTCTGCCCAAGGTAAGAATCCTGTTCCATTCAGATGGCACCTGCTTTTATCCTCACTCATTGCGTCAAGTCGATTCTGACTCATGATGGCCCTGTAGGGCAGAGAAGAACTACCCCTCCGAGGTCCACTGGTTATGAGCATAGAAATCTCCATCTTTCTCTCAAGGAGCAGCTGCCAGTTTTTAATTGCTGATCTTGCAGTTAGCAACCCAACACAGAACCACTACACCCCCATGGTTCCTTACACACATACCTTATTAACTGTTGGGAGCAGCGGGAAATTGCTGAATCAATTTACACTTCATGCTCAAGATAAAATGATTTATGGGAGTGCCCTCTCCTTTTGTCAAGTCGGCAACTATGCAGCCTGCAAACGTGCTAACTTGTAGGATATTAAAATGTAATTTAAGATGATTTATTTGTGGGAGTTACGATATAACGATTCACTAATCTTTTATATTGGTTGGTGTCATCTGAAAAGAGGTAAGATTTTGCTAATAGGAAAACAAAATTCTAGGAAGCAAACTTATTGTCAGTTACTTCATAGTGTTATATATTTTAAACGTTTAACTTATATTTAAACTCATTGAATGTTGGAATGCTTTATTGGGATGCTCTATTACTCAGGCATCCCCTGGAAGTAAAACTGGTATTTTAGAAAATAAGTAAATTAAAGTAATTCTTTCCTAAGTTGTTTTTTTTTTTTTTTTTTTTACTGTTTATATTTCCTTCTCTCTGCCTTGAAGTGGAATATTTTCTTTGATTTTTTCTGCTCCTACTTTCCTCCAGCTGTCAATGGGAAGTTGTCACTTTCAATTCACTGGTCCATCCATGGAAGAAAGCCCTTCAACTTGCTGCCGTAGAGATGTCAGCCTATGAAACCCTACAGGGCAATGCTAGTTGGTCTTATCAGGTCACTGATTGGAATGGACTTGACAGCACACGAAACAATGATGACATGACTTACTGGGGTGTGGAAATGCCACGAAAAGACCGGTTGTTGTTATGGGCCATCGAGTCCGTTTCAATCCATAGCAAGCAATCATGTACACCACAAAAGGAAACACCGCCCGGTCCTGCACCATCCTCACAAATGTTCCCATGCCTGGGTCCATTGTTGCAGCTATGGTGTCAATCCATCTCCTTGAGGACCTTCCTCGTTTTTTGTTGCCCCTCTACTTCACCAAGGATGATACTCTTCTCCAGGAACTGGTGTCTCCTGACCACATGGCCAAAGAATGTAAGATGAAGTCTCACCATCCTTGCCTCTAAGGAGGACTCTGACCATATTTCTTACATGACAGCTTTGCTAATTCTTTCAGCGATCCATGGTACGTTCAGTAGGCTTCTCCAGCACCACACTTCAAGGCATCAGTTCTTCTGTCTTCTTCAGTCAGTGTCCAACTTCCACACACATACGAGGCCATGGAAACTCCTGTGGCATGGGGTGGACACACGAGTCCTCAAAGTAACATCTTTGCTTTGCAAAACTCTAAAGAGGGCTTGTGCAGCAGATTTATCCAAAGCAACACATCTTTTGATCTCTTGACCACTGCTTCCATGAACACTGATTGTGCATCCAAGCAAGATGAAGTCCTTAACAGCTTCAACCTTTTCTCCCTTTATCCTGAAATTGCTTATTAGTTCAGTTCTGAGATATTTGGTCTTCTTTCCACTGAATTGTAATCCACACTGAAGGGCACAATCCTTGATCCTTATCAGCAAGTGCTTCAAGTCCTCCTCACTTTCAGCGAGTAAGGTAGTGTTCTCTGTGTATCACACGTTGTTAGTAAGCCTTCCTCCAATCCTGAGGACACCTTATTCTTCATATATACCAGCTTTTCTGATTATTTGTGCAGCATACAAAGTGAATAAGTATAACGAGAGAATACAATCCTCTTACTCCCTTTTCCTCACTTTAAACCATGCACCAATCCCTTGTTCCATCCACACAACTGCGTCTTGATCCGTGTACAAGTTCTGCAGGAGCACAATGAAGTGTTCTGGAAGTCCCATTCTTCTCAAGCATATCCACAGTTTGTGATGGTCCGCACAGGTGAATGCCTTGGCACAGCCAATGAAACGCAAGTAAATATCCTTCTGGTATTCTCTGCTTTGGGCCAAGATCAATCTGCCATTCAATGGCTTCTTCTGAATCAGGCCTGAATCCCTGACAGCTCTCTGAAACTGTACTGCTGAAACCGTGCGGGGTGATCTCTAGCAAAAATGTCCTGGAGTGCGTTATCCATGATATTGTTCCGTAGTTTGAGCGTTCAGTGGGATTACTTTTCTTTGGAGTGGATACAATTATGGATCTCTTCCAATCTGTCCCAATCTGTCTTCCAAATGTCGTGGCACAGACAACTAAGTGCTTCCAGGGCTTTATCAGCTTGTTGAAACATTTGAATTGTTATCCTATCAATTCCTGGAGCCTTTTTTTTGTCTGAAAAGACTGAATAAAGTTGTTTTATAAAAGAAAGATGAAACATCTTTTAGACTGTTGTATGTAATGGTTGGTTATTTTTGCATTTGGACAAATATATTAAAGTCTTTCCTGTTTTGTTGACTATAAAACCCAAACCCCAAACAAACCAAACCCATTGCCATCAAGTCAATTCCAACACAATTCCCTCAGGGCAGAGTAGAATTGCTCTTGTGGTTTTCCAAGACTTCTGAAAGTTTTACAGTAGACAGCCCCATCTTTCTCCTGCAGAGCCACCGATAGGTTCAAACCACTGGCCTTGTGGTTAGCAGGTTACTTTGTCACCCAGGCTGCCATGCAGGCTGCCTTTCACTGACTATAAGGTGGGCTATGTGCCAGTTAGGAGCCCTGGTGGCTTAGTGGGCTGTGTGTTTGCTGTTAACAACAAGGTCAGCAGCTTGAAACCACCCGCTGACCCGGGAAAGAAAAATGAAGTTTCCTAGTCCAGGAAAGATTACAGTCTCAGAACCCCACGGGGGCAGTTCTACTCTGTCCTATAGAGTTGCTATTATCAGAATCAACTAGATGGTAGTGAGATGTACCAGAGATCGATGACTGTTCCCTTGTCTATTTTTCTATTTCCCCACCGCAGCTCTGGCTTGACTTTTCCTATGGAATGGCCTCCCGGCACTCCTAGTTCATCGAACCCGAGCTATTCTCCAAGCATTTTCATCATGTACCTTCCCCTGAACACCAGGCTGGAAAGTCATGTCTGGTTACTTTAAGCCCCTAAAATTATCTTTTTCCCTGTTGTTGTTTTGTTTTTGCACCACTCGAAAGCATTTTATGTATTTTGCATTATAATCATTTTTGTAAATATATTATTTCCCAATTAGGCTTTTTCGTTCATTTGATCTGCCTTAGTACCTTGCACTACAAGAGGAGCTAAACATACTATGGGTGGTTGGGGGGGAGGAGAGGGGTGGCTTGAAAATTTGTGGGGGGAAAACCAAATAAAAGATACTGGGAAATTTCTACAAGCTTTCTGAAGTCCCCTCATCGACCTGCCTAAGGCGTGTACATTTTAACGTCATGTAATTAGATGCAGCCCTGTAAAGAATATCACATAGAAGAAAATGCACCGTGAGTGGAAAACGCTGCCTCCATGGGAGACAAAGCCAGATTTGGTCAAGAAAATGGTCTCTTTGCTGGTGGCATTTTAAGTGGCGTTCCAGCTATTTGGCCAATCAATGCGCAAGAAGGGACCCGCATGAAAAGGGTTACTGTCACCCAGGGACAAGGGCCTTCCTCTTCGGAGCCATCCTGGTTCATCTTTAAGAGGCACAAAGGCATTTCACCCTCTGGGTCAAAGCGCTCTCTCCTCTTGGCTTTCCCAGGACCAGTGTTGGGAAGACATGTGTACAAAGACTTCCCATAAAAGAGGAGGCATAACTCAGAGCAGTGACAGGCCAACCAGGGGTAACCAGGTGGCACACCTGCAGCAGCAATACCTGAGCACAGCCCCATGGGGCCTGGGGCTGGGGGAGGGGCCAGGAACCCTCTGGAACATTGAGGGTTGTAGAGGAGACCTGACAAAGTGGGGAGCTGGAGAAAAAGGGATGAAGACACTAGGGGAACCCCTATGGCAAGCAAAAGTAAATGCTGTCTCCTCTACCATCTCCCCCCTCCCCCCACCCCCGCCCAGGAAAAGTGGGGCCTTTGGCTTCTGATGAGAATCAACACTCAAGAGAGCCTCAGCTTACCTTTATGTCAGTTTGAGTTTTCCTTCGAGGGGATCTGTACACACACTTTAAAACATAATATCCATGTTTCTCATGGTGGCCTTTGTACGTTATCTGCAAAAACACAACATGTTATTAAAATGGGTTTTCTGCGTTTCTTTTTGACTGCACAGGATACAGAAAACTGGGGTAAAGCCCAATGCTGCTTGGAACTAATGGTAGTACTGCTTATAGCCACAGGAGGGCGTATATTAGCTAGCTCCAAAGATGGCCTCTATCTCCCAGGCCTCTCCTTTCTCCCTGTTGTGCAATTGCAAACTCCAAGCAACCCAGGAGCGCCAGAGTCGAACTGTGACCCCGAGGTTTGTCAATGGCTACGATCTTTCCGAAGTAGACTGCCAGGCCTTTCTTCCAAGGTGCCTCTGGGTGGACATGGACCTGCAGGCTTTTAGTTAGCAGTCCAGCATGTAAACCATTTGTACCACCCAGAGACTCCTCTCTCCTTTCTCAAGAACGAACCAAAACATAACAGACGCTGCCAGAGTCGATGCTGAATCATAGCAGCCCTACAGGGCCGGCCAGGAGAGCACTACCCGGTGGCTTTCTCCCACAAAGCGCCCAGTGGCTTCAAACTGACGGCCTTTAGGATTGCAGCTCAACGCATAATCACGACCCTACTGGGGCCCCTTATAAAGGCACAACCTGTATCTCCTAAGGGTGACTGTCACCTGCTTTCCTTCCCAGGGTCCATCGCTCTCCTACCAATTTCAGTGGATATGCAGGGAATGGCAGTGTTTTCAGAGCAGGGGCGGGGTGTACAAGAAGCCGGTGTGCATGCCTGTTGCCAAAGGGGGAAACCTAATAGCACGAATATGGAAATTCAGCGATTTTTTTTTTTTACCGTTGTAATTTTCAGCTGAGACAGAGAACACAAGATTGCTAGTTCTTAAAACCAACTTTTCCGAGATTGCCAGGAGAGGTCAGGGGAGGCACAAGGAAGCTGCAATTTGTGACGATGGAAAGCCCAGGATACTTGTCCGCACTTTCTGGCGGCCTCCCGGAAACAAACCCCAAGCTAACAGGATTCCCATGAAGATCTGCCAGCCGTGCTCTCTTTGCTGCTCGCTCATTCGCCCCTTTGTTCCCGCGTGCACACGTGCGAACACAGGGTTTGCTGGTGATAATATTCCAGAATTCTTGCTCACTGAAAATTGTAGAGCAAACCATGGGGTCCCTCGAAGGAGGCGATCAAATGGAAGAGTCACAAAATTCAGAATGTTTCCAACTTTTCGATCACGCCTTGTGCGAAATACCTGATGAACTAGGAATTGCAAATATTGTGCTGCATTTTGTTCTAAAATTAACTGGGTGATGATTTACGACTGAACTATTGAATTGTATGATCCCAATCTCATCGCCATCGAGTTGATACCAACTGGTCAACGTTATAGGACCGGGTAGAACTGTCCCTGTGAGTGTTCAAGACTGTAGCTCTTCAAGGAAGTAAAAAACCCCACCTTCCTCGCACAGGGCAGCTGGTCATTTCGAGCTGCTGACCTGGGGTTAGCAGGCCACCGTCGCTGGTAGTAACTACTATGCTTCCAGGACTCCTTGAGTTATATGATACATGAATTCTATGCCAATAAAAACTTTTAAAAATAAACTTCTTAACTGTATGATTTTTCAGTTCCACTTTAAATACCCAGGGATATGTTCAGAGGTAAATCTTTCTCATATTGACTTTCTTTTTTCTTTTCAGAGCTGAAATAGATTTATTTGTGAAGAACTATTCTGTTTACCTTCTCTTCTTCCACACAGCCTTGCTTAGTTTTCTCAGACTGTGGTTGAAAGGTCTGAAAGAAAGCAAGAAATAAAACTTCACTAATTGGAACATAGACTCTTTCATTCCTTCAAACAACAGCGATCTCATTTATTTTTGTGTCTAGGTTGCGTTATTAAATGTGGAAAATCATCCTGTCCAAAAGAAGCGGGCTGCACCTATCACAGCAGTGTCTCTTTCAGGATGACACGAGAGAGGGCGCCAGCTCGCTCCCCTCCCCTTCAACCTACTGCTATGCCCTGGATGCCACGCTCTTAGCAACCCTATATGACAGAGTAGAATTCCCAAGGCGGACATCTTTCTGGAAACAGAAGGCTATATCTTCTCCCATTGAGCTGCTGGGGAAAACTGAGCTATATGACTCTTTGGTAATGGCAGGGAGAGTTGGGGAGGGTGTAAGATTTGGGGATGGGAGGGAAGAAATGCACTCTGGATCATCGAGCTCAAAGGTTGTTGGCATTCACAGAACAAGAAGCTAACACTGGCAGATTGAGGGGGGCGTGCTCAATACCCAGGAAATGAAATCCGAGTTCAGTGAGATTTGCTAGTTGCAGTGCAGTTGCCCCTGACTCATGGCGGTCTGGTATGCTCTCAGCGATTTGTTGCTCGGTCTGCGGCAGCCCCATCCTTGTTGGCAAGCTTCCGTCCACAATTTCATCCGCTGTGTACTGTCTTCTAACCTTGGGGGCTCACCTTTGGAGCACCAAACCTGGCAATATTGTGTTATGACAAAGAGGTCTCATTGGCTGACTGTTGGAAGCAGGTCTTAAGCATTTCTTCCTCAACTGTTTCAGTCCGCGAGCTCCCCAGACATCTGCCCACCATGAGTGACCTTGGTGGTCTTTGGAAAACTAGTGGCCTGTTTGTCAGCATCACTGCAACATGCACGCTGCCTCAGTATGACAAAGGGACAGCTGGAGGGTAGGCTGATTATAGAAATGTAGTAATTGCTGTCTTGGATCAGGTGATGATGCTCAATGACCCAGTAAGAATAAAACCATAGTCCTGCACGTCGGGGGAGGACTGCACCTAGAGACTGGACTTGATTGTCTTCACGTGCCTAGTCCAATATTTCCTTCAAGCTGGAGAAAAATGCAGGTGGAAAGCTAACTTGGATACGTGCTTTCTCTTGGTTTGATATAAAAATGTTAACTTTTATTGAATGTGCTTGGGGATGAGGCATAGCTATCAAGTGGAAATAGGCCCCAGACTACAACAGCAACAAAATAAAATCGGGTAGCTTTTCCAACCTGCAGACTTAAGTTTGGGTCTCGCTGGGGAAGATAGAGAAGGCTTAGGTGCAAGATTGCTCTGGAAGGGAGAGAGACAACAGCTTGATTTATTCTCAGGACTTTTGTTCTCTATTTCATTTTTAACCTCTTTGCTATCAGATGTGGCAAGGGCAGCCAATGGTTACAACTGGGTCGTGCTTGAACGCGCTTGTTACCGTGGAAGCATTGATACCGGCGGTATAGCTAGCTAAGAGAGGGAAACTCTCCAGGGAAAGATTGAACAACGAAGCAAACAGTATAAAGCCTGCCTTATCTACCTAGACAGTCTTCCTAAATAAACTTAAATGTTCTGTACTTGGCTTATCCAGAGAGATTGTTCTTGCAGTAAGCTATTAGTCCTACCCTGCTTGTTGTGAAGGCCCCTTCCTGTGTTTCTGCTCGCTCTGTACTGACTTTACAAATGACATTCCCCAAGTGCCTTTACTAGCCATCTAACAGGTCTGTGATTGGCTGATGGGAGCTCAAGCCCGAGAATGGGGGCCAGAGGAGAAAGGCAAGCCCTTCTTTCTTCTCTTCGAAGCTGCACCCCTCATAATTGGATGCAACTCCTTTGTGGTCCTATTTCCAGCGGCAGCTCCCTATCCAGAGCACTGAGAGCACCCACTTCTCTCCTTGGTCTTCCAGCCCTAAGGGTGGTAGTAATTGCCTGTCACAAGTCTTTGACTTGCCTCAAACCCTTGCTTTGTCCTCTGTCCGACACACTGTCTCTAAATCACCGCTCTCCCCACATCTTTATACTGCCATGGCTCTGCTCTCCTAACTGGATTGCGACTGGTGAGAGTATATTAAAAATAGAAACTCAAAATTCAGTCAAAGTGTCTCCCTGACTGGTCCCCAAGACCCTCTCCCTCTGGAGAGACTTGCTTAACAATGCCACTTTAGGTAGGTGTCACCCTCGCCAGTTGGTACACTGCTTTTGAGTGCACACTCTCATTTGACTCCCAGAATGCACCCTGTGAGACGGCGCCAGAAGAAACCCAGCCAAACTGGTGGTAGGAATACAAGTAGAAAAGATACTTAGCCTGAATCTTCAGTTTTGTCCTTCTAGGATTAAAATGGTAAATTATTAAAGTGGCCTGATATATGAAGAAACAAAAGCCTATTTAGTAATAAAAGGAAATGTCCCTGTAGTTTATGTTACGTACCTTCGAGCTATGTTTTATCATTTCATTCTGTATTGTGTTTCTTACTTATGCTAACTCTAGTTTAAGGTCTTGTGCATATAAATCAGAGCACTGTATATATACTGTCAAGTATGGAAGCAATCAAAATATTTCTAACAACAGGCATATGGGAATATAAAAACTTTAGAAGGAAATGGGTAGATATGAAGAAAGAAACAGCGGTGGTATTAGGTATCTTCCTACAGAACACACATGAAAGGGGCTTCAAAACTTTCATGGAAAAGCTCCACCACCTTTGAGTTCCATTCCTCTTTGAAGTCCCATTGTGTGTGTAACACATATATGTATTAAAATATACTTAATGATATATATAACAGAATATCTCAATACCATAGTGTAGTTAGTTCATAATTGATTACATCTTAAAATAAAGTCCTTTTGAGCAAATTGCACATTGGTCCTTATCCATTGATTGCATGGCTCAGTAATAAGCTTTTATTTTCTCCTATGTTAAATTGCTTTCATGTTGGATTAAAATTCCCAGACATATATAAGTGGCTCATTATTTGCTAATTTCTAATGCCACCAATCATTATTGAGGAATTTAGACCCCTGGTGTCTGAAAAACAGTACCAGCCATTCACAGTTCCAAATGTTGTCTCCATGTCTTTGCTCAGTCTCTTTCATTTGAAATATTCATCTCTCCGTTCTCCCCACATCCCACTTGGCCATTTTCTCTTGCTTGAATGTACGTCTGTAATTGAGATGGCATTGTCTCCCTCTGGGGAGAATTGCTGACACCCTCTTTTGGCCAGCGGTCAAGGACTCCACGTTGACATAACACATTTACTGGAAGATGGTCAGAGGACACCACTCCAGCTGCTCCTTTGGGAAATGATGCTCGAAATAAACCCATCCAGACTAGTTGGACTGGGCGGGGTCAGCCCCGTCTGCCTTTCCAGCATGCCTCAGCCGGGCCTCGCCTGCGTTTGGCCGGAAGTTAGGCGCTGGAAGCAGAGGAGCCCTCACGGGATTGTGAGAACATCCAGAGACACCTTCCCCCACTTCCACTGCCCTCAGCCTTTGCAGCCTGCTACCCAACCAGTCACCCACTCACTCAGGCCCTATATTTAAGAACGTCTTGAAATAGAAAGATGAGTTGCTTGCACGGTTTGTCAACTGAAAGGGTTACTGTGAGAAGTTAGGATGCTTTTCAGGCTCGATCTAATTAGCCCCATGTCTGCATTGCAGAAAAGATCTGTAATGCTCAGCGTTTTCACAAGATAATTTGGGCACATCCTGAGCACTCTTCTGCATGAGTCAGAGAGGAAAAAGAGTCAAGAGGAAATAGGAGTTTTATTTCGGTTACGCTTAGGAAACATTCTTCTCATCTTTGGCTTTGCTGATGACGGAAAAATCATGAACAAGATCCTGCAGTATTGGAATGTTGCACGAATTACAGAAAACATCTCTGCTCTATGTCTTGCCATGTATTTACAAAATCTAGTTGTTTAGCCTTTATTCAATTCAACTCCTTAATATTTATATAAGAATATATGGATATATTCTCTTGATATGTTACAACACAAGCCTGTGAATATTAGTCATTGTTGTCAGTATATTTGAAACCCTTGTCCTCTGGTTTTCTCAATGATATCTAATCTTCTGTTGCTTCAAAGGTACTATAGGAGGTATCTCTTAATTCAGCAAATGGTCATTAGAAACCTCCTTTATGGCAGGCATTAGGGTTAAGTGTGGAGTGCTTTCTATTTACTTGGGCGTGGGTTTTAAACTAGATAAAAATGCTTCTAACTTAACATTAGTTAAAAGAAAGTGAGAACAGGAGGTTAGATGATGCGTAAGTGAACTTATACATGCTTACTGGTGCTGCCCGGGCCAGGCTGAAAAGGAGCATTCCCAGACAGATCATCTGCATCTTTTGAGAATCTCTGGAAAAAAGACAATAGTAGTTTACCCTGGAGCAACATCAATTGTAAACAGCAGCAATAAAGCACAAAAGTATAATAAACATCTTTCCTACCAGTAGTTCATTTCCTTTTTTTAAAATAAAAAGCCTATGCATAATTTATATTTATTTAAACCCAAGGGCAGCTCCTGTAATCTAAGAGCTTTCACAGATTTAGTTATCTCAATGTGGAAAAAAAAAAGTTCAATGTCATTAAAACAATGACGTCAGTTGGTCATTGCTGTTTCCAACTTTCTCTACTTATTTTCAGAAAGTGATTGTTTAATTACTTGTATAATACATAATGTCAATAAAGAATCACCACAGACTCTTAAAACCAATCTGTCTGAGTGGCAGGCAACACTCTGGGGAAGGAAATTTGTCAGCTCCAGGCTGGTACACCAGCGCATGTCATCAGATTTATTAATATATGAATCATTAGTTATTCATGGACTGCAAAGTAAAATGATTATGCAATATTTACAATAATAGCTAACATTCATTGAATACTTAAATAAGCTAAATACTGTTTTTTGAATGCATGCATATTCCATTATTTGAATCTCACAACAATCCTATGAGGTTGTATTACAAAGCTTATTTTTCTACATTTGGAAATAAGCACAGAAGGTTGGATAACTTCCTCTTTATCTCATTAGTATTAAGCAGCTAAACCAGGATTAGCACTTAGGCAATAGAGCTATGGAGTCAGTGTTCTTGATCAAGACCTTGCACTATCATGACTAAGTTTCCAATCTTTTATTTTACTACAGAGAAACCTACTGGCAGTTGATTTTAAAGTAAATCATATTTTATCATTTATAATTCAACAAAATAATGTTTGAAACACATTTGATTTTGCATGAAGGCTCATGTCTATTCTTGGTAAATTCACAAATAGGCTGTAGGGCTCTCGTAAGGTAAGTAGCCATTGTATTAAAAAGAAGAACAACGTCAATGAAATCTTGGCTGATTTGTGGTGTTGATAAAGTATTCCACTAACTGCCATACAAACACAACAACTGAAAAAAAAAATTTAAATTACCCCACTTTTGTAGATGATTTGGGAAAGGGACAATTTTTCCTGGGAAAAATATCTTAAGCATTAAGAATGCTTACAGTGTCTTTAAACATTTTAAGATGAAAAAGACCTATTTGGGGAAACAAATACAATTTTCTAATATTCTAAATCTTTTAAATAGTCTTTTGAATATTCTAAAATCATTGATTATCTTTTAGGTTAGAATAATCTAAAGGGCATATTTAATAATTCTAGCTATAATTTAACCTTCCAAGCATTTTATAGACCAGGACAGATGAGATTTTAAAGTCTGACTGTGGTCAAATCCTGTGTCTTCTAGTTAGTATGTATAAGGACAGAGTGAAAATAGAGAAGCTGGGCTGTGGGAGCTGGACAGTGCTGATGTCAAAGAAAAGGAGAGTTGTTACCAAACCATCAGTTTCAAATGATGATTTCTATAGCTTAATCACACACTTCTGAGGCTTATAAAACACAGCCTTCGGTAGTACACAGTTTGCTCACAATAGAACATCCCAATATTCTTTTTTAAAAAACAAGAATGCTAGTATCTCTAGAAAATAGCAAATATCTTGGCAATGTCAATGATGTTATAAAGATAGGTACTACGAGGAGCATCGAAAGAGTCACATTACCTGGGCTCGTTGACCTTCAGACTACCTTCAGGCTACCTTCAGAAGTATGAGTCTTAGGGTATTTTGCAGACATTTAAAGTTTGTTAGAGTTCCCCATGGCCAATCAGCATCAGCTCTGAGCATCAGCAAACAATTTGTTACCAGAAGCCACAGATAACCAGCGGGAGCCAAGTCATTTTAATCTAAAAATGTTTTGTGGTAGAAAGCTGTTATCAAATGTTCCAGCAAGTGGGATAAACAGAAAATATAAATACCTCTGCTCGCACGTCATGTTGTCAGATAATTAGAATTCCAGAACTATTAATCAGGTCTGACTGAATATACTAGTAAATTTATGAATAGAAGCCATTTTCACAATGTAGAAAGTTTATAATTTTCTCTGAATGAAATTCAGCGACGTTTCACAAAGATGAATTGCGTGCCTACTGTGCGCAGGTACTGGGGAAGCAATGGCAAACAAAATAGAAAGGGAAAGACAAACAGATTCCTGCCTTCTTAAATTTAAAAGCCAGTGGGATAGCCAGACAAAAAAGAAGATAAACACTAAAAACACAAATGTTAGATAATGATAGATGCTAAGAAGAAAAGGTATTGCAAGGAAGAGAGTAAGACTGTTGGGGGCACAGGGACACTGGAAGGGAAGTTCAGGTAGAGTGTCCAAGGTGACTTTGGAATAACGACCTGAAGCCACAGGGATGATGAGGGAAAGAGTGCCATAGGCAAAGGGAGGGGGGAGCAGAGCGCCTGAAATACAGGCTGCTGGTTGTTTCAGGACAGCCAGGAGGCCAGTTTGCCTAGGGGCACAGAATAAAGGGGAGAGTAGTAGGAAATGAGCCCCGAAAGGGACTAGATGGCATTACTTAAGCTCCTCAAGGTCTCAGCAAGGTCCCTGGGTGGCATCAATGGTTTGCAGGGACTGCTCATCAAGAAGTTAGTGGTCTGCACCCATCAGCCAGCACCAAAAAAGGAAGACGCGGAGCTCTGTGGAGGGAACTGTATTCGAGCGCCATTCTGGGCACCTGGTTTGCAGAAGACTGTGCGTGACAGTGGAAGCCCAAAATTCATTTGCAAGTTTGCCACATCAATGAAGCCTAGGTGAACGCCTCTGACCATGGACCAAGGGTCTGCGTTATCAGACAGAGGGCATTGGAGAGTGAGTTATTTCAGGCATAGTTAGATTACAATTTGACACCTTATCTCATTTGATATCCCTTTTGACTCATTTTAAATTTGTTCTAGTCTTTAATATTTTCTTCTTTTTGATCAAGAGTTTTCTGCTTTTATTTTGTTACTGGTGTTTTGCTTTTGTTTCATATATTTTCCTTTTTATGAAATCCAGGATAGGTACATTTATAAAGACAGTAACTGGATTAGTAGTTTCTTAGAGTGATGGCGGAGGAGGTTGGGGGTACAGGGTAGAGCTGATAATAATGAGTACAAGAGTGAAGAAAATGAAGGATGTTGGCAACCTATGTACAAATGTGCTAGACACAAGGGATGTATGGATTCTTATAAGAGCTGTAAGAGCCCCCAGTAAAATGACTTCTTAAACTTAAAAAAAAAAAGAATGAAGAAAATGTTCTAAAATTGTGGTGATGTCTGCACAACTATAATATGTTTAAACTGTTCAATTACATGATATGTGAAGTATATGTCAATAAATCATTCAAAATATAAAAATATTTTTTAAAGATTATAGCTAACGAGTCCCTGTGTTCTGTTGTACTCATAACACATGAGACACCACAAGTTGGAACTGACTCAACTGAAAGTGGGTTTGTTTCTTGGGTTGACTCTTAGTGGAAGGAACGCCTTTGAAGATTTTGAGCATAATGATCAGACCTGAATACACGAGTCACAATTATATGTGGAAGACATTTTGAAAAATCCTTGTATGCAGAAAGTTTAGAAGGTCAATGTTGTTAAAAGGTCTAACTTATACTTTAACAAATCTATTCTGAACACGGCATTGAACATGGGCATCTGGGTTGGACAGCAAGGAGATTTGGTGGTGTACTGGGCTGCCAATCTCAAGGTCAGCAGTTTGAAACCACCAGCTGCTCCTCGGGAGAAAGATGAGGCTTTCTACTTCCGTAAAGATGTACAGTCTCAGAAACCCACAGGGGCAGTTCTCCCTAGTCCTATGGGGTTGGGGTCGACTCGACGGCAGTGAGTTGAGCTGAGTTGTTGGGTTTAGGCATGAATTTCATGGTCATTTAAAACACTGGCTTTCTTACCCACTAGGAAACTTCCAATTACACGTGACCTGATCAAGGGGGTGGCACTTCACCTTAATTTTCCAACAGCTCATAGTAGATCCTATCGTGGAGTTGATTACATTGTATTAGATCATCTCATGGGGGAGACTCCAACTGCCAGACTGAGAATCCTGACTCAGACAAATTGACACATATCCTAACTGTTGCATGTCCTCAATGCGATAGCATATTGAACAACCGTATTGAAACTAACTTTTTAAAGGCAATTCCCTATTTATCACTTTGCTCTATCTCCTTACCTTAATCGTGATTAAGGTAAGTTGGGGAGATTCCACCGAGTGTAAAAATCTCTAATATCTAGAAGAATTACATACTTTAGAATTGTGTGAAAGTATAAAAAATATTTTAAAGAATTATTTAATGCATGCGAAGTGTGAACGCTGCCTACAGTAATATGGTTCTAACAGACTGTCACTGCTGCATGAGATTTGAGGGCAAACTCCTAGCTCTTCCAACTCAGAAAATGGTAGATCAAGGAAGACAAAAGCCAAACTAAACCAGCCCAGCAACAGCAATTATTCTGATTGAGAAAAGTTGAACAATTTTGATACAGAGAATAGTGTCTTGTTCAAACTGAATCCCATTTTTTTAATCCAAATTCTGTATATCATCTGACTCTCCCCAGGCCACCATATGAGACCGCACACCCACACGTGGAGCAGAAAAATGGAGAAGCAGCCCAAAGGGGAGGTGGTCTCCAGGTTCCCGCCTTTAGGGCCTTCAGCTGTGAGGCATGGTTGATGGTATTGGTTGACCCCATTAACTGAATTAAGCCCACCTGGCCTAGTTTGGGCCAACCCAGGTGGACAGCCCACCTAGGTGTACCGCCCACCTGGCTCAGGCTTGAATTGGCACATGCCCCTTAGCCTTCATTGGCTTCCAACTTCCTGTAGGGAACCTTTAGGCCTGGAGAGGAACAACCCCCTTATTCTGCTACCTATCAGCTTCTCCATCTGAAAATGGTGACCATAGCTATAAGTTAAGCTTCTCTTGAATGATGACTATGATCCAAGCACAGTCCTAAGTGCAATGCATTAACTCATTTAATCCTTACAGCAACTTTATATACTAGATACTATTATTATCATCTGGATCGGATGATAGGAGACAAGACTTGATCAGCCTCGCATGCATAGTGAATAGCAGAGCCAGAACTTAAAATCAGGTGATTGATCTCCAAAATGAGGTTTTGAAACTCTTGTACCTTAGTGCCTCATAAAGTCAGGATAAACATTACATTTTAAACATGCCTCTGAGGAGTTTATCCCAGTACTTGATATTAAAATTAAATGATAAATAAATAATAGCTACTCACGCCACCTCCCCTTCCCTGATATTCGGATTACATCCTTATGGTTCTCTGCTTGATTTTACACCAAGCCTTCTTACGTGATGTACAATTGTAAAGGGGGATGCCATGTAATATTGAGAGAGTCATAGAGGTGAAATTTAAGGGAATGTGATGGTACGGTCATCATAAACATCCAGGATAAGAATTTCAGCAAAATCCAAAGGACTATGAGGTTAAATGACAAAAGGTTAAAAGAAAAATAAAGAATGGAGGATAGCATTTAAGAGAGTTCACTCAACTCACTAGGCTTAACAGAAGTATAAAGTGATATAAGAAGGCAGTGAAATAAACAGTAAGTGCCAGCAGGCTTAACCTGTCAGCAGCTCTGTTGAAGAAAAGACCTGACCATCTATCCCCATAAAGATTCTTGCTCTTAAGTGCTATCCAGTCAACTCTGGCCAGTCCCGTGCCATCCTCACAACTATTCTTATGTTTGAGCTCATCGATGCAGTCACTTTGTCAATTCATCTTGCTGAAGGTCTTCCTCTTTTTTGCTGCTCTGATCCTTTACCAAGCATGATGTCCTTCTGCAGGGACTGACAAAATGTTCAAAGTATGTGAGACAAAGTCTCACTATTCTTGCCTCCAAAGAGCACTCTGACTATACTTCTTCCAAGACAGATTTGTTTGATCTTTCGGCAGTCCATGTACATCTATTACATTTACTATTCTTTGTCAGCACCATAACTCAAATGCATGGGTCCTTAGGTCTTCCTTATTCAATGTCCAACTTTCACATGCATTCGAGACTTTATATGCATGCCCATAGAGATCAAACCCTAGAAAAGGTTATGGGGCACTTCTACTTTATTCTATAGGGTCACTATGAGTCAAAATGGTGTGTCTGGACAGCACATAACAACAAGAACCAGTACACAGGTAGGGACAACACAAAATGTTCATTTTAAACTTTAACTTCTCTATCAAAGCACTAAGTCAGTAATGTCTAGAACAATTAGTAAATGTAGCCTTTATCCCGGTCTTCAATATTAACTATTTGTACTTTTGATGATTCAAGTAAAGGAGTAGGAATCTTATATACACCCAGAATTTGCTGGTGGTTTTTTTTCATAGCTATAATTTTATAAATAGTTTCAGATATTCCTCAAAAGTATTTTTTTTCTACCGTTTTCCCTTCTTTCAAAAGAATTCTAGTGTGTACATGAGACCTGCCTTTCATTTAAGTGATGGAAAATGGCCATTTCTAATCTAGAGAAACTTGGATTCTTCAAAGGGAAAAGTAATAGGAATATAAAAGAAAATGTTGACTTCATTACAGTCTTACTAGCAGTTGCTAAATATACATACTCTCCAAGCTAACATGAATTCAAAGCTTAAAAAAAATTCATCTTATGTCTTAAATTTAGAACCTATAATTGACAAAAGCCAGGGGGAAAAAGGAGAAGAGTGTTCTGGGTGGAAGTTTATAGAGAAGAAACTTTAGTTTGAAAAATA